TATAAAATATGGCTAGTTATGAATTTATTGTATCAAAGAGGGTACATGTACGTGAAAGAATTTTAGCCATACTTATGTTTAATTAAAGCGAGCTCAGGTTGTGGAGCTTTTTGATTTTACACGGCCAAAAAAGATTAAGGTAAATATTTGAGAAAGGAGCATAATATGACGTGCATCATGAGGACACCAACACCATATTTTACTCATTGAGCTGTTATATTCATTCCCCTTTTTCCCTACCCCTTTCAGGTAACAATGACGCATAATTACATAGAGTATATGGAGGATAGTTGGGCCATTATCCGCAATGGTGAAGAGTTTTATTGGACATTAGTTCTTGACATATGGTCATACTGTCCAAGGGTGGTGGACACATATATTCAAATGGTTATTGTTACTATTATAATTCGCTATAGCACCACAACTAACAATATGACAGCACTAGAGATCCATATCACGTATTGCAATAAAATGGAAACCATTTGTGTACATACGTTGGAAAAGAAAGTAAAAAGATGGGAGAAGAAAGTTGTTTATTTGTTACTTTTGAATTGATGACTTTACGTATTACTGCCAATTCTCCTTAGTTTTTGGATGAAAGTGCAAGTCAATTGCATAAATTAGTTTTTGGAGGTAGCTTACGTAATGTAATGTACTCTATGAATTAGTAGTGTAAAGTGAAAAATTAGTCGTGTCTTTTACTTTCTGTCTTCCATCTCTTGAAACAAGATGTGTGTGTGTGTATGCGCATGTGTGTGTGTGAAAAAGTAGTCATTACAATTGTTGTATCATAGCCCGGTACATGATCTCGTAGACTATCCAATAGAACTGCAAGTCTTCACGTCAGAGAATGTCGAACTATCAAGTAATTTAATTAATTATTAGGCATAAGATTATGTGAAAAAGACCTGGACTATTTGTCTAAGGACAACTAAATAAGAGAGTAAGGAGCAAATCTTACTACACAACAAGAACATTTTAGAAGAGATAATTTAAAATAGTAGCAAGGAAATAACTTGTCATTGGATACCCAAAAAAGTTGCAAGGTACATGTGAGTGATGAAGCGGGTGTTTCACTTGATCTCCAATTTTTAACCCCTGCTATTTATGGGAATAATGCTATTTATTATTATGATGATAGAATATCGATCAGTTTACGTAGAATAATGAGATTGAGCAGTTTAATTTTTAAGAGAGAGGGAGAGAAATGTGAGAGATAATGAGCCTCCGTTTGGTAACCATTAAAATTTTCATTCTCATTCTTCTACTCATTTTTAACCACACATTCTTCAATAAAATAATATTTTCCATCACATCAATAACTTTTCATCTTTTTTA